GTCTGCTCTGCTGCCCCCCAAAACAGAGCCAGGCTCCTGCCCCGGGCCCCGGCAGCAGGAGCTGGTTGGTGCTGTGTGCCTGCCGTGCTCTCTGTCCTGCTCCCACAGCACCGAGCTCTGGGCTGGGGTTTGCTCTGCCCTCCTTGGCCAGGCCTGGGCTCGGGGGCGTCCCACACACCCTGTGTCACCTGGATTAGTCTCCTGATGTCTCTGCTAAGGCTGCCAAAAGTAAGATTATTCACAATTGCATGTCCAGGGAAGGGAACGGAGCTGGGAAGGGGCTGGAGCAGCAGGAGCAGCTGAGGGAGCTGGGGGGGCTCAGCCTGGAGCAAAGGAGGCTCAGGGGGGACCTTCTGGCTCTGCAAGTCCCTGACAGGAGGGGGGAGCCGGGGGGGGTCGGACTCTGCTCCCAGGGAACAAGGGACAGGAGGAGAGGGAACGGCCTCCAGCTGTGCCAGGGGAGGCTCAGGTTGGACATCGGGAGGAATTTGTTGCTGGAAAGGGTGATCAGGCACTGGCAGGGGCTGCCCAGGGAGGTTTGGAGTGCCCATCCCTGGAGGTGTCCCAGGAAGGCCTGGCCGTGGCACTCAGTGCTCTGGGCTGGGGGACAAGGTGGGGATGGGGCACCTCGTCAGGGTAGACTCGATGATCTTGGAGGTCTTTTCCAACCCGAATGGTTCCATGGTTCTGTGATGGTTCTATGATTTCAGTCCGTTTGTTTAACAACAGCAGTCACACTGGTGGTAGGTCTCCCTTCCCAAAGTTTCCATACCACCCCGTCATTTTGAAGTCCTCTTTCTGAAGTGGTTTTACGTTTTATCCCTAAAGAAGTTTTTTTTCTGAAGCTAACCCAAAATGCAGTCGTTTTCAAAGTGTGAGGATAACATACATAATTGTGACATTTTAAAACCCCTTATAGCTGGAAAAAAATTCTTGCATAAATATTTTGTATGTCGGGAGTTTTAAAGTATAACCTCCATGTGTACTCTGAATGGTGCTTTAGTGGATTCCAAAGCCCACAGAAGATCCCTCTGCTGGCAGTGAGATTTTGGGTTGATGCACAGATCTATCTGTGGCAATCCATTTGCAAGATCATGACAATTTTCACGTATAGAAGTCGAAGTAAACATGGATTACAATATTTAAACTGTAGAAAGTTCTTTCTGAAAATGGGGAATTCACTATCCAGGCCCCATATTCCATTCAGGGGAACAATAGTAATAGTTCTAATCAAAATACAGTGTTTTCTCTCCCAGGAACTAAACTAGGCCCCTTAGAAACACATTTCTGAATTTTTTGCCCAAACTTTCAATGTTAACAGTGGTTTCTGTAAAAATAAACATTGCCTCAAAGTATTGGCAGCCCAAACAGAGAAGCTGAAACTGAAGGTAAGGATAGTGACCTTATGAGGTTTTCTTCTGTAACTTGAAAAAAATGACTGAAGTAAAGAGCACAAATAGAAGTAATGTAGGTTTTTAAGCTGTTGATTCTTGGTGTAGGTAAAAGGGTAAGGAAGGATCTGTATAGTAGGAGATTTAAGTATTGCCTGTAGAGGAGGATAGAGGTTGCAGCTTTTGGAATCTGTGCACTTCCAGTTGGGCTGATTTCCTCATTTCTGGTCACTCGCTCATAGGTGATTAGGTCAGGTTTCACTGGGAGGGAATGGATTTTGGGTGTCAGTGAGGAATGTGGGGTTTTTTAGCCATCAGGAGGATATAAGGAGGCAGGTGGGAGAGCAGGTCTCTGGCTGGGAGCAGCACAATAGGAGCTGAAGGGAAGCCAGGCTGGCTCAGGGCTTTCTCTTCCTTTTCAACATTAGGAAAATGTCAGGAAAGTAACCCTTGAAAGAGTCTACAAGGAGAATCCCACACTGGCTGGTATCTCGAGGAGTCCAGGAAAGAGGCAAAAATCATTGCTGCTTGCAGATCTGGAAAAGTGGGTAAAGCCAAGAAGGTGTTGGAAATGATTTGTCTCAGTTGCGAAAAAGATGTGTTGCTTATCAGGAGCTGACAGTGTGTTCCCTCTGTGGTGTTCCCTCTGTAAAGCTAAGGCAGGAGAAAGGACTGTGCACAGCTCTGTCCTGAAAATGTGTTCATGGTGGAAGTGCTGAAAGTCTGGAGGAGATAAGTCTTCTAAATAATGATGGTTTTATGGATGAGGTCATGCTCTCCTCTCACCAAGGAAGGAGATGGAAAGAACTGAAGTGGAAAGAGTTGGCAAGGTCAGTCTGTCTTGTTGTCACAAGAGTGGCAGGAAGGAGGCCTCCAAACAAACCAGAGCCCCGGGAGTGAGGCAATCACCGTTTCTTCCTGCTCACATCAAATTCCTGTTCCAGGCATTTCCAAATAAGGGTGAGGAACTGAGCGCCGCAACCGCAAGATGACAGTGCAAGGCTGTTAAAACCAACGCTCCTTTTGCCTTCTTTTTAAAATAATCCATGTCCTGCCATGAATCAAAGTGCCTCTGTAGCCTGCCATGCTCCAAAATAGACTGACAGGAACATATACAAATCCTCCTGGAAAAATAAATGACAAGAAAAGCTTTAGCTGGCAATTCCGGAGTAAGAACGATTGGCAAGTTGCACCATTGACTCACCATGATTTTAATCATGGGCTGCTTGTTCATCTCAAGGGAAAAGATGTCACCATGTGTCTCATGTGCAAGCACAAGGCACACAAAAATCACATGGCAAAAGTAGTTTTTGTATAATGGTAACAGTAGAAAACAAACAAGAAAAGAGAACAAGGGGGTGAATTTCCTGGCTCAAATGAGTTAATCTGAGATCAGTGGAGCTTTACTAATCTGCACCAGCAAAACATCTGCTTTGCCACCCCTACCCTCACAACCTTCCCCTTTAGCTTCCCAGTGTTACAGCAGTGATGAGCTATGGAATAGACCAAACCACGATGCTGCTGAGGGCAGGGAGGAAAGGGCAATTTTAACCTGTCAGATGAGGGCAGTGCTGTCAGGGCAGGAGCAGCTCAGAGTTTGCCAATACTTGAGCCCACTTAGGCTTTGTAGACACTTCTAAATATTCAGGAAATCTTCAAGTGATGTTTGTTTTCAAAAGCTATCTGGTGGCCTGAATGTCCCTACCCAACAATTAAACCAATAAATTCAGAGGCCAGTCTTTAAAGTTCAGAGCTGCAGATGCTGCCACTGGTGCATTATTCATGGGTTTGGTTTTTCCCTTTGATATCTCTCTATGGTGTGATCTGTATAGCAGAAAAGAGCCCACATCTGTCTGTTTACACCACCCTGGAAATTCCTGTGGGCAACCAAAAAAGTCAACCACAAATAACTGCTGGGCTACCAACAAACATAGTATCTGGAGTGCCTCCACCCACCTGCCATTGGGCAGATCACTAAATCTCATTGGAAATGGGAAAAATCAGATCAGGGTGGGAGGGACAAGTAGAGAGAGGGGTGGGGGGAAGGACTAGTTTGAAAGACTAACCTGAAATTAGCAGAACTGCTACAGGATTGATTTTTTTTTTTTTTTAAGTAGAGTAAGTCACATGTGGGCCCTGAGCTGAGCGTCACATCATGGCACATGGCTCGTTGTGGGGTTGGGGTGAACCCTTTAGAGTGGACAGGTTCTTCTGAGCTGTGTCTTCTTGAAAGGTGGACAGGAAACATCCTTTAAACCATCTGGAAAATTCATGAGCAATTCTCCAGTGGGATACTGGGAGAGGCTGTAAATTCTGAGTTTGCCCAAGCCAGTGGGGCCTCTGGTCATTCTTGCTTTAACTGCAGGATCTCTTTATGTTGTTGTGGGTCTTGGAGAGAGTTACAATTTCCATTGGTTTGGAAAGCTTCTCAGTGCTTCCAGTGATGAATTCCTAACCTAGACCTTCACTCACACAGGTATTACTTTTCATATCTGTATACCCTAACTAAAGGGCTTGGGTGACATTCTCATTGTCAGTGGAAGTAGTTATGGGCTTAAAAGCAGGCACCCACCAAGCTGGATCTCATCCTATGGCCCTTGCATCTTTGAAAGGTATGGGAATTATTCTGATTTATTAAGCTGATCCTACACTATGCTGCTTGATTTGCAATGTTCAGTGAGCTTTGGCTGTTACTTGCCTCACACTAGTATTCAATCACTGGCTGTTTCACTTGATACATGATTAAAGAAAGAAAGCCAAGGTGCAGATGGTGCAAAGATTTCATTGTCCATTAACATTCTTTCAGTCAGGTGTTGCATCTATTTTTGAGCCTTTAATTGTTGGTGAGGTAATTTCTTCCTGGTGCAGATCATCTCATGTGCTGGACTGTACCACACCAATGTTGAGTTGTCCACTTGGAAGTCTGTTGCTCTTAGAGCTTTTATTTCCTGAATCTGGGGAACAGTTTTCCCCCTTCTAGTTATGTTCAATTTTCTGAGAAATACTTTTTTTTTAAATAATTTTGAAAATTAGCATGTCATAATCATTTTCTATGAGGAGACATTGACACTTGCTAGGATCCTGTGGCCAGGTGGCCGTGCCGCCCACATCCTGGACTCCTTGAAAATAACAAATGAAAAAATGTGAACGCTTTTTTTTTTTTTAATGTAAAGTTTTTTATTCATCTTTCTCTTAAAACAGAAACTTGGAAATTTAATTTTTTTTTGTTTTGTGTGGTTTTTAACTACTAAACCCTTTCTTTAACCGGTTGAAAGTGTAACCAGATTTTGGGTTGGGGTCCCTTTTTGGCTACTGCCGACTCTCTCCCTTGTCCTGTTGCAGAAGATGGCCCCAGTTCCTCCGTTCCGTGCAAATCCGAGGTGGTGCTGGGGTCTCTGGCAAGTTCCCAGTGCAGGTCTCAGATGACTTGAGTCCTTCCCGTGGGTCCCTGGGCAGGCTGTTGAGCAATGGCATTCTCTGGTGGCAGTCACCTGTGCAGTGAGCAAACGGAGCGAGCGCCCGCTGATCTCCTGCGCCGTGAACGCATGGCTGGACTCGCTGTGTCAACAACCCCTCACCTCCTCGGGGGCACAAGTGCCAACAGGGTTCTCAAACTACACTGACTGATAAACCGGTTGCTTTATTACTTGTTTCTACCTTGAGTGGCGAGATTAAATTGAATTTAAAAGACTAGCATAAGAGGAGAAGGCATACAGGTAAGCATAGAGTGATTGTTTATATGTTCATTGTAAATGTGTTCATTTTGAGGCTGGGGGCTGGAAAGGGAGACCAGCAGAGAACAGTGAATTGCATTTAGATCTTTTTTTTTCCCACTGATTAAGGGAAGGCTGCTCATGAAGATAACTTTCTCATCAATAACTTTTGCCAGCCTGTGACGTCCGTTACTGATCCTTCTCAGACCTGCACACCCAAGCAGAGTGTTTGTGCAATGAGATGTCGAGTAACACTCCTGAAAACTGGGAGACCTTTGATTATGCAGTGTACTGTGAAGTCAGTAGTGTAATGAGTCTTTTTTAAATTTTTTTCCCCTCCCTTTTCAAAACACGTGGATAAATGTTTCGTAAAGCTCTGAAAGCTCCCTGTCACTCCAGGCCCTTGTAAATAGAGGCTGTCTTTCTCACAGACTCCCTTCAGGCCCTGGAAGGCCACAATTCAGTCACCCCAAAACTTCTCTTTCCAGGCTGAACAATCCCAACTGTCCCAGCCTTTCCTCCCAGCAGAGCTGCTCCATCCCTCTCATCCTCTTGGTGCCTCCTCTGGACTGGCTCCAACAGCTCCATGTCCTTGCTGTGCTGTTCTCCAGGGCTGGAGCAGCTCTGCAGGGGAGTCTCACCCAAGGGCAGAGGGGCAGAATCACTTCCCTGCCCTGCTGCCCACGCTGTGGGATCAGCCCAGCACATGGGGGGTTTCTGGGATGGGGCATGTCCAGCCTGTCACCCACCAGCACCCCAAAATCTTTCTCAGGGCTGCTTTGGATGAGTCTGTCCTGAGATAAATTTAATGGCCACCAGGTGGGTTGGGACCTCTGAGAGGGAGAAGCCCAGCATTCCTGCCTGGATCCCACGAGGGTGGAGGTGACAGCACTGGCTGCTGGGAACAGAGGGCAGATCCCAGTGTGCTTTTCAGGGTTTCCCAGTATTATTCGGTGTGGATGAATGACCACCCTTTGTTTGTCATCAGAGAATATTTATGACCGTCGGAGCAGGGCTGGGTTCCTGGAGACGGGATAACACGTGGCTTTGTGCTGCCAGACAGAGAGTTCCTTTCGGTGGTCACACCAATGTTTTTTCATACTCCCACGGACACCACAACTTTTTTGGATAAGGAAGAAGATGATGGAACACAGATGAGGGAAAGAAATGGCCTCAGAGAACTTGGATACGTGGGGGTATTTTTACCCTTTGGGGTTTTTTCTTCCTGAATTTCAATGAGTGACTTATTGGAAACTTCTTTGGGTTTGAAGTGCTTTTTTTTTCTTGTTCCACACACACAAAACTGTTTTGGGTTGTTTTGTTTGTCTTCATTTATAATGCAGCTGAGATAGGGTGACTTGATATTTTTAAAATAGAAAACTGATGCCTTCTGAGGGAATGGGGGGAAGAGAGGAGGATTTTACTAGCTGGAAACATGGGTCATGCCAAGGACAGCTTGTTGCTGTGAAGGGTGTGCTGGAGATGGGGGGGAGGATTACGTGGAAGCTGGTATGGAAGGAAGAGCAGTGCTCCTTCTCCCTGAGTGCCAAATCCACTGATAGTTCTCCTTCTCCACCATATCTGCTTTTATTTATTACCCTTATTTTTCCCTCTTTCTTTTAAGGCAAATTCTAGATCAGACTTTTCCAACCCACGACATTAGCGACTATCAGGCACCGAATGCCAAGCAGATGCCTTCTGTTTCCCTCACTGCTGTCCTGCTCTCTGCTGTCATTCCATAAAAACAAACCTAAAAGAGGAAAATATCCTGTCTTATCGGTGAGGTAACAAAGTGAATGGGGTTATAAATTCCACGCTGTGAATTGCTAAGCTGGAAAACCCTCACAGGAAATGCTCAGCATCTTGTCCCTTCTTGTTTTGATCAGTACTGGAACCTGTGAGGCACTGGGAGCTTAGGAGTGTCTTCTGGAGCCTGCTACAGGCTGGAGGCTGCCCAGCAAGTAACAGCAAGCTGTCAGAGGAAGAAGTTGTCAGTGAGTTGTCCAGCGTGTTGTGGAGCAGGAGGACGATTTGCCAATGACTGAGTGTCTTCCAGGGATTCCCCATCCAATAGTCAGGGTGAGTCTCCACACAAGGCCTGTTGCTTCCTCCTGGTGCCTGTTGGGAAAAGCACGGTCCTGTTTTCCGTGTTGTGCAATTCAGGTCATGAATAGAATGAGTAAGGTATTCCTTTCAAAACCATCACCCCTGGGAGAATGTCATAGTTGGAAAGGAATATTTCCTCAGCGTTTCTATGTCTATAATAAAAAGAATGTGCAAATGCTAATATTGACAAGTGATCACTGTAGAGTCTCTTCAATGGTAATACTCTTTTCCTTCTCTGCTGTCATGGCCATTCCACAGCTCCCCAAGTTTTCTATGGGAACTATTCCAACTGGAGACAGGGAATAGAAATAAATAAATTCTGTTCTAAGATTACTGAATAACACGTTTCCACTGGTGCTGGTGGGGTTCAAACACAAAGTTTTGCTGGCTCCTGCTGGGGGACTGAGAAAGAGGGAGAAGGTGGCATTGATTTTACATATCCATTATCACCTAATTTCGATTTTGTTGTTCCAAAAAAAGCTGAGATTTCACATCTTTTGAGAAGTTTAGCAAAGGTACACTTTGTGCACAGGCACTTCAAACATCAGCAGATGCTGAGAGCGCCAGGAAATATTGTTGGACAGGGCACTATTACAGTCATTCTTTCTACCACTTCCTCTCAAACTGATGTAAACAGTCCTTTCCCTTGGGAAAGGGAGAGCGCTGAGCTCGAGTGATCAATATGTGGTTTTGCTGTGGTTACTCGGGAAACTTCATCCCTGAAATCTTTTTTAATCACAAGTTTTCTGGCATCGTTTGACAGAGGATCCATCTTTTCACTTCTGATCTACTGTAAGTTATGGAATCTGGCAAATAGGAACAAATGTGGATGAGCTGGTTTATGGAACAATAAACACAGGTATGCATGTTTGTGAAAATTAAGAAATTTTTAAAAGATAAATAACAGTTGTTTTTAAAATAGTGATTAATTTTAGATTTTTAGGTGTACTCTAGACTTCCATATTCATTTATTGCTCTATACAAACATTTTTCATGTTTTGCTTTTTCCCTCAGCATTTTTAGCAGATGTATGGAGGCTGGATTTGATGGCTTCTGGCACATCAGGATCTCACTCAGGAAGCCCCTGAGCGAGGCAGCACCGTGTGAACACGAGGTGCAGCAGCTGTTTGATGGTGATCAGTGCCAGGACACACTGGTGTGCAGTTCCTGGCCTGTATTTGTGCTGTGTGCTCTGCAGCTGCAGACACATCTCGGGGGAGGCTGTGGAGGGCACACGGCTGGGGTTTATTTCCCCCGACACAGTAACAGGAGCAGTAACAGCCAGCTGGGTTTGCCTGCATCCCTCCCATACAGGCTTTCAGTTTCCATGTTCTCAGCTATCCCAAATTAAAGGTGAAAGCTCTGGGGGTTTTTCCCCTGGAATTGGAGTCCTGCTAAGATCTGTTTGCAGAGGTCCCTCTGGGAGCCCTGCAGCTCGTTCCTGCAGTGGGGGTTGCTGGGTGCCAGGTGAGTGTGGGCTCCCAGACCACCCTGGGAAGGGCTCCTGAACCACAGGTACCTTCCAGACACCACTGCCCAGGTGAGACTTCCCCACCACACTGCCAGATTTGCAGGCTTGGCAGACAGATGGCGAGGCAGGAGGCTGTTCAGGAGGCTGGGGGGGTGGGGGGTCTGTGGGGTTGTGTTCATGGGACTGGGAGGGGGGCTCTCAGTGCTGGGAGCGTGGTGGGAGGTGCTCCTGGGCCTCCATCCACATCTTAGGAGGGGCTAGGGCTGGTGAGACTGAACATGGGGCTTGTTGAAGGTAAGAGCTTGTGTTTTCTAATGGCATTGAGAGCAGTTTTAATGGTGAGAACAAACACTGTATACAGGTACAAAATAGTAACACCAGTTGGAAGGCACAATAGCCTTGTGGTTCCCACAACGGATAGAGATCAGGAGTTCTTGAATCAGTTTTTGGCTTTGCCACAGGCTTCCTGTATTACTTTTCAGGCAGTCACTTAATCTTTGTATCCACCATCTGTGAAACAGGCAGGCTTGGAACAGTTAGGCTTTGGAAGCATGTGTCTAATTCAGCTGTTATTAGGAAAGTTAAATATTAAGGACCTGTTACGTTATCATAGGATAAAACCACAGCACTTCTATTTTCACTGTGAACTTTGTTCTTTTGCTGTTACATTGTTTTTCAGGAAAAACAACATTTTCACTGCATAAAAATAAGTTAAGCAGAAATTCACAATGCATGACATGAGAGCTGTATCTGTGGGCTTCATGTCTGACACTAAAATACGAGGCTCATGTTAAATGCCCCTGGGAAGACTTCAGAGCTGATTGTTCAGTAAAATGAAGCACAGGTCTGGGCACTGAAAGTAAAAAAGTAATAAAAGACTTTGTAGAGATCAGCTCCCCAAAGCTGTTTGGAAAGTTCCATAGCCTGTGTCTAACTCCTCATTCCCTTGTTGACAGGGATGCTGCTCTGAGCCCGTTGTTCAGATTTCCACCAATATTCTGTGTCAGAGAAGGAAATAACTTAGATAAGATCAATTTTCAAACCTGTTTCTTCAGGAAGGAACTGAAGAGCACTCCTGAAAACTACCTCCTGGAATGTAAAAATTCCGATCTTCGGGAAAGTAAAGGAACCGCTGTGTGAGATGAAAAATGTCAATATATTTGGAGGACAGGTGAGTTTGTTTGCCAAACTTGACACATCTGCAAACTCCAAGTGTGTCTTTATCTGTGCCCAGTGAGTTTGTGAGGAGGTGCTCCCAGCACTGGTGAATGTCACTGTGATTGACACTCTTCACGGGGTGGAACACGGGAGCTCCCTGTGATGCCTGGCAATTTGTCCGGGGTGGGGGGGAAGGATGACAGAGACTTCTGAAAAGGATGGGTTTAACTCTGTTTGTCAGTGTTCATTGGTGCTGTGGGAAGTGGCAATTAGCTGGCTGAAGTGTGCAGGGGTACATCTCCCCTGCGGGTGCTCTGCAGCACAGTCCCACACGCCCAAAGGAGCAGTGATGCCCTTCAAAAACAGCAGTTCCCTGAGCCCACTCTGTGAGTGTCCTTGTTCTAACTGGGGAGAAATTTCACACATAAAGGCAGCTTCTGAGGGGTGGAACCCTGAGAGCCACGGCTCACCCCTCCCCAGCCCTAAGAAAGCAGCAGGAGTGCAATAATGACCCATAGGCTTTTACAGAATTCCAAATACTTCACCTGTGTTGTGTCTACTTTGTCACGTGCACTGATGTGTCATCCCTGAAATATCCTGCCTCAGCTATGTCAGCTTGCACTCTGGAATTTTCTGGGGTGAAATACTTGTTAGGAAAAGGCATCACCTTTTTTTCCCCACTGAGTATTTAATATGCTCCACAGACTATTTCAGACTGGTGGTGAACAACTCCAGAGTCATGCTTTGGTGAACTTCTGCTCCAAGACCTATAAGGTAGGACTCTTTCCAAGAACTCCAGTAAGCGTGCCTAGAACCTCCAAATCAGGGAGGTATTCAGTTGGAAAATCACTCACCTTTACTGGAAAAATCATAATTCGTATTCTTTGGATGGCCTTTTGTAAGTTACAAGCCTCAAAACCAGAGAAGCCCCTGCAGCTGCTGAAAGAGCTGCACCTCTGCCTGGTTATGCTCTTGGATGGTTTGGCACAGCTCAGGCAACACAGAGCTTTGCTCCAGGGCATCTCTGTGCCCCTGCCCTATCTGCTGGGACACATGGGTTAGGTGATGTTTTAAACCTACCCTGAATTACCTGTGTGCCTTGCTGCAGTAGCATCTTCCACAACATCTGCTGGGCTCCTTCTGCGAGCAGAGGTGGTATCTGGTGTCCCTGGGGCAGATCAGCAGATCTGGCTGCTGCCTGGATCACTCTGTGAGCTCTAAAATGCTTGGGATGATTTTGCTTCCTTTCAGTGAAATTGTCAGGAAGGAAGCACTGCTAAAAAGGAGGCAAAATTTAAATTTAAAGTTTTGGCTGGAGGTCTGCTGCACTGCAGGGCTTCATGCAGAGTGGCAGACCTTCAGCCACACAGAGCCCTGTACCGAGGGGCACTGAGGTCCCTCCCGCAGGAATCCCATTGCCAGGAGCAGTTTGACTTGTGCAGGAACCTCACAGAGGAGTGGCAGAAGTCACCTCTTGGAAGGGCCAACTGGACTTTCTGTGAGAGTATAGTAATACACTGTGGAAGTACGTGTTATAATGGACCATGTGTGACCTAAAGGATCCTTTCTGCCCATTTTCTGTGATGCATGTACTGAACCATAAATACCCCATGACACTACATCCACACTACCAGGCAAAAGGCTACATTTTAAATTGCTTATTTGATGATCAAACAATTTCTGTGCCTGATAGTGTCTCTGACAGTGAAAAGCAACAGAACAACTTAATTAAAAAGCTAAAGCAAAGCACTATAATACATGTTATCTCACCAAAACCACAGTCGTCTCCCCTGCAGCTGTAGGATTTGCCAAAAAAATAAAAAGCCGTAGAATAATGGATTAGAAATGCTTTCCAGCCTTCCAGCTTTAGGCAATACATTACCAAAATATGATTCTTAATAGGAATATTTTGAGGAGCATCATCATTTAGGAACCTTGCCAGCAGGCACTGGATTAATCTTTTTTTTTTGTTGTTATCATTGCAGGCTGGCAGTACTTCTCTCCAGATGTACCATTTGGCACATTAAACAGTTCTTTTCTTAGAAGGGAAACCTATGGTTTTGCCATGTAATGCAAAACACCAATGGAATCACTACATAAGCAAAATGCCAGTAATGGTACAGTGGTCCAGCCACAAACATTGGTATGTTAATTTTGTTTTATTTTTCCCAGTGTGTCATCTGTAGTGCTGTATTTTGTACCAGGACTATGGCTGGGCAGTTTAGTATCAGATTTTAAAGTGTGTTTTCAGTGAGAGGTTTAAACTAGGAAACTAATGGTTGGGGTTTTTTTCTACTTAATATGAATCTAACTATCAGTTTAGATTGATTTTAGAGACGAGGCCAAATTTCCCCCTCAATTATAGCTGTTCTACCTTCCAGCTGTATGCATGCACTTTTGGTAATGGTATTCAAATACACTGGCAAGCAAGTGGGCTGTGGCTTATACTTGCCATTGCTTCCTGAGATTAACTAGACCTTCAATTAAAATTCTGATTTATTAGTAAGAAGGTTAATATAATTATAGCATATTCGGTTTGTGTGTGGAAGGCAGTGACTGGCCTTCTGTGCTGTCTTAGTTCTCTCATGGATCATCACCAGTCCTTGCAGAGGCAGCTGCAGTAGCTCTTATGTGGCATTTGTTGTATTCCAAATTACTTTCTGAATTTGTTCTATCCTACTGACATTGTATGGAAAGGAAAAAAGTTGCAAAAGTACTTATTTTCGGTTCCTCTGTGTTTAGGCAGCAGCAGAAGTTGGGAGGGATGACATATGGAGGGGTTTTCTCTGTGTCCCTCTGGGTTTGCATGCCAAAGCAGAACGCGGGTTGTTCCTTTTTACACTTGACTTTTCTAGATGAGGATGAGGTTTAACCTACCATTTCTTGTGTAGACCTTGTTCAGGGCATCCAAGGTGTTTGGCCTAAGCTGGCTTGCTTTTAGACACTTCTTTTCTGAGCTGGGTTCTGTTTTCTTACCCCTCCTACATCAAGGTATCACAGAGCATGTTCCTCTTTCCTGCCACTGTTGCCCTGCTGTAACAGGTCTGATGCCATGAGCCTTGTTTCTGGTTTAGGAGGCAGTTGTGGCCCTGCTCTCTCATCAACTAGCCAAAACCACAGTGGGTGATAGGCTGCATTCCAAGGAGTGAGTGCATGCCCTGCACTCCTTGGGGCAGTCCTGCTTCTTGCCACGTTAGATCTGAGGGCTGGTCATTGGGAAGCGTCTCCAGATGATCAGTTAGAGGGTCAGGATGGTAAGAAATGCTTTTTCACCTTGCACAAATGATGACATTAGTGTAATTTGCTTGTCTGGTGAAGGACAGCAGAGAAGGAAGGACATGCCTCACTTCACTGTGCCACTATACACTGACTACTGATGTGTATTACAGAGTTTGTTCCCACTGACAGGCCTACCCTTTCCCATCTGAAGGTTTTTGGAGGATATCTGCACTTCATGTGTAACATTTTATTTCCCATTCCCTGTATGAAAAGGTGCAGCACTTCCTATGGGATGAACAGCAGGAGAACTGCCTTCCTCCTGGCTTTGGGGCCAAGGGAGAAAAAGGAGGTTGAGTGGGCAAGGAACACATTTTTCCTTTGCAGGGCTGCTCTTTGCACCAGGGACAGGTTGTCACCTTGGGGAGAGAGCTGTGACACACTGCCCAGCCTGACTGCCCAGCCCCACTCCTGGCTTGGGTCCCCTGGGATTTTTCTGTTTGTTGTAACAAATAGCCTGTAATTCAAGCTCTCTGTAGGTGGGGTCAGACTCTGCTCCATGGTTTCGGTAGATAGCAGGTTTCTTTCTACTTAATATGACAGGTGTTTAGTTTTTAACTGACTCCTGCCATTCACCAGAAGTCTCACCTTTCCTCCTCCCAAGTTAAACATGTCAGTTCTGGCTTTTGCCTGTCCACACAGTGAGAAAATGACAATTTCTGATTACCCTCTCCCCTCTAAAAAGCAGTGGAAGATGAATAGTTTAAAAAAAAAAAAAAAGAAGAAGGTGATTTCTCTCCAAGATTCTGCCTAAATTGAGTGGTGTGGCCTTTCCAGTTTGATTAACTCAGTAATTAAAAATGACCAGGTGAGGCAGGGCAGTCACTTTATTCTGGTTTGGTTTCTTCTGTCCCATGAAAACTAGGAAATAATGCAAGGAAGGCACTTAGTTGTGAGAACACTTTCCCTCTCCTGCTGGTTCAGTTCCTAAAATCTAATAATGTTTTAAACCCCCAAGAAGAGGAACAAGCAAAGTATCATTATTTCCCTTCTGGAGGATTTCTGCAAGGAAGCTGATCCTCACTCCCGGTCTGCCACAGAGTAAAAAGGACAGTGCTAATTGTGTGCCCTGTTTTCCTTTTTCTGTTCTAATTGTGCCTTTTCTGTTTGAAGCAGAAGAGCTGAGGCAGAACATGGCTGTGACTGTTTGCAGCTGCCCTTGGAGCTGGAGTGGAGGGAGTGCCCCCTGTGCTGCCCGGAGCTCGGCCGTGCTGGTGGAGCGTCAGCGCAAAGGGATGTGCAAGGTAAACTGCTTTTAAAAAGTCACTGGCTGGGGCTCTCAAATCATGTTTAGGGTTCTCTCACTCCCATTTGTGTTGCAGAAAGTGATCCCCTCCTATCTGTAGGGTGCCTGGGGTGTGGGGTCTGAGATTACTGAGGGACTCTTTCTTCTGCAAGGCAAATCTGTTAAATACAGTGAAAGTGTGAAGTGGGGTGTGAGTGTGACTCACAGCCCTGGCACTGCTTTACTCACCAGTCTGCTATGAGCAAGTGTCCACCAAAGAAACGTGGATTGGGCAATCAGCCTGGGTAAGATGGCACACCAGCTACTCTGCATGTTTGCTGTATTCTTCATAAGACTTGGGTAACTGAACTTCACATACTCTCCATTCCAAAGTTCATTCCATTTCTTAGTACTTTTCAGCTAGAGGTGAATTTTCACACCTGGCTGTCATCCAAATTGCATGCTGAAGGCATTTTTGAGGAAACTTGAAGTTTTAGAGTGTTAATAAAGTGTTGCCTGCTAAAATAAAGCCAGATTGGTTCAACATTAATGTTAAAGAGTATGTAAATAGTAAAGGCTGAAATGTCAAAACAAATATAGATAATTTAAAAATATCACTCTTTGCTCAAGGTATGTTGGTGACATTTCAAGAGCTATTTTGTAATTTTTCTGTTAAAAATTATGCACTGCCATATGCTGAATATGTCAAGCTTCCCTTCTACTGCTGCTGTTTGTGTGTCAGAGGATTCTTCTGTAGTCATACAGAATCACATATTATGTTCTTGTCCTTCAAGATCTTCCTTGAGCCTGCACCTCAGGAATGCCTACAAAGAGTTTCGTGTGCAGCTTGTTGCAGGTACCTCTACAAGGCTGTTCTCCTTTGTCCCTGTGTCCCTTTTGACTTTTTACCTGTCTGCCTGAATCTCTGTCTTCTCTCTTGACCTCTTTATATGGAAGTTCTCTTATATGGAGGCAAGAACCAAATTGACTTTCTAGTTGCATACAGCACCTCAATCCTTGCCCGTAATGAACGTTCCCTCTCTATACATCCTACAGCCTATGGGATTTCCTGGGAAGAGTGAGTCCTTTCCTTGGGAGAGGAGTTAGGTTGGTCTTTCATAAGATCTGGCTTCTAGCTTAGTTATTTATTTGGTATGCTGTTAGAGCTTTGGCATCAAACAGGGCCCCCTTTACAAGAGATGGTGAGCTCCTTGGTGGGACACACTGCAGGCTTTTCCCTTTACCTCACACCCTTCCACATGCTTTTGTCCAAAACCCTCCAGGCTGTTGGCACCATGTGCAAAATGGGAATGCTGATGCTTTGTCCTCCTGAGTTCTTTGGGATCAGGAGAGGCCATTTCATGGAGACTTGCACAAAGATGGAAAGGAGAACGATTCTGGTGCCGATTCCTGACCCACCAAGATCCAGTGGGTACACGAAGATGTATTAGGAAAGAAACTGGGTGTCAATAACACCAAGACAACCCTGACCACTTTTTTCAAGATGTCTTGGGGAGCATGTAAAATTCCAGCTTCACGCCAGTTTTAATTCACTTTCATACTGTTGGGCTCCATTTTAATGTCAAAAGCAACCCTTGAGTGAGGTTGGATTTGATGTAAAGAATAGCATTATGTCATCAGAAAGGAAAGTGCTGCTTAACCACTAATATATTTAAAACCATTTTCTGAGTAGATTTGTTGCTAATTATACTGTATAAATTTAAGAGTGGAAATTTGGTTTCTCCATCATCATGGCTTGCATGTCTAATATTTCTCACTGGGCTTTGGAGTGCAGCTTAAGTGCAGCTCTCCCTGGAAATTTCTTTTTAATCTAATCCCATTCTCTAGTTAAACATTTCAAATGAAATATACTGAGGAAGAAAAAGAGGACTACTTGGTTTGGAGTGCTCTATAGGCAAAAGATTGCCTGAGGACCTCCTTATGGACTGTACCTTATCTTGCTGTGTGTCCAGTAACAGATGGAGTTGGAGTGTAGGTACCTCAAGCTCTTTGATTTTCTTTCTTTCCTTTTTTTTTTTTCCATTTCCAACTACATGGATTAGAGCTATAAAGATGTTGGTCTAAGTCATAAGAGTTTTGGAGACCGGAAATACTTGATTTCAGTAGTTGAATTTAAAGTTATCTGAAGGTAAATATCTCTTATCTGGATGGTGTGTAAATTGTGTATTCATCTGATTTCCTTTCCTTACTGGATATCATTTTCCCTTGGTGAGTGGTTCGTTTGGCTTCCTAAGCAGAACTAGACAAACTCCTAAATCACTTCATGCTTTCAGTGAGCTGTGTCCCCTTTCTTTTCTATTTTCTTTAATCATTCTTTTCATGCTTCCGGAACAATTGAGCTGAAGGATTGCGAAACTTTTCATATCCTGGTCTGTGTGCTTGTCCCAAACCTCATACCTTGAAATAGTGTTGTTTGATATTCAGCTGCCATCACTGTAATATTGCATGCTTTGGGCTTTGGGATTTCTAACGTGACTGCAAACATTACCTTTCTAATGATACTTTGTGTTGGATTAAAGGGTGCAAACACTGTATTGTGAGTACTGGAGTTATGTGCCCTTACCAGTCTGGGGACCTGTAACCTACTGCTGGGAATTCCAAGTCAGGTCTCCTAAAGATAATACCTTGCTGCAATTCTCCACTAAATGGCTGCTGTCTGTTGCTAAATAGTTTGTGTAGAGCCCAAAGCTGACTAAATTCCAATGACAGCCTCACTTTTCAAAAAGGATGTGTGTGATGGATACTACACTTGTTGTATGGGTGTTTTTGTGAGTACCACGTGTGGATATTTGTTCTAATAGCCAGTCATTGTAGCAATAACTACCAGTAACATATCAGTTAATTCAGTGCTTTCCAGAGGACATTTCTGTGCTGAAAAATCGTTCTGAAAAAATGTCACCTTTCCTCCATACCATTATCGCTCCATAACACAGCATTATCAGCAAATACCTGATAACATATCCTTGCTGTTGTGAGAGAATTAATATTTATACTTTTATTGCTGCAAGCTTTGCCAGAGAGTGTCTCCGTTTGGGAGTTAGTCTTGGCCTCATTAACTATTGTGCTACCGTGGGTGCAAATCCTGCCTTTGACATCCCCTTGTTCTGCCTTATTGGAAACACACTGGGTTGGAGGCAGGGTCTGGCTCCCAGGATCTCTGTTCCCAGGGCTGCCAGGTAGGCAAAGTGAAACCCAGGATGTCTCCAGCAGAGTCCAGTCTGACTTTGCTCAGCTTGGCCACTGTGAGTACTGTGTTGCTCAGCAAACCAGTGTGTGGAAGGATTGATGCACTAATGTTGCCTGTGTGACTGTGTGCTGCATGGTCATACAATTAAAAATGTTTAAAAAATAGTGTATTCTCCCAGAAGCACTAACTGGATCCTCTTGCAGTCCCTGCCTGATCTCTGCATGTGCAAACCTGCCAGTTCTGCACTTATCCCAGGAAACGCTGCATGGAGACACTTGTTTCCATCCCTATTCTTGAGGCCCTTTCAGAACTATTAAATTAAGAGGCTACTGTGTCCTCCTTTGAAATCCCAAATGGAGGATGGAAGAAGGAGGTGGAAGTTCAGTACCATCCTCATGCATCTCAAAGAATTTGAAAGCCAAAGGAATTCAGAGGGATTACAGCAGCAAAGGACATAAATGCAGTCTCAAAATCAGGTGAAACTACCACTGCTTTAAAGATCTCTCTTAAAACTCCAACTATGCTGATGTGTTGGTTTACCAGCAGAGGAACTGTGAAAAGCCTCATTTTGCATGGCAGCCAAATGAAAAAACAGGGTCAACCCTCCAGTTCTGTGGCCTTTTGTGCTATTTTTTCTACTTTATGTAAGGGATGGTCTCCACTGCTGGATGGCCTTCCTGAACAGGAATATTGATATACTTCCGGTGAGGTTGAGAGAGTGATTCACTCTTTGGTGGCATTTGTGCAGTCCCCCCTGCCAAAGCTGTGCAGCTGCTTTGTATTTCATTTTGGGAATACTGTTTCCTTGAAACCAGTGTTCAGGAATCCAGTGTGTGTAACTTGGAGAGGGGGAGGGTGTCCTCAATTTCATTAAAATCATATCCAGGACTTTAGTGGAGGAAAAGACTTGGAGAAAGGGAAGAAGCCAGGGTGCTATTAATGAAAACATTAGATTCCTTGCAGAGCACCACTTTCCTTGCAAGGCAAACACCAAAAAGAGGAAGAAGCAGTTCCTGGGTTTCTGATTTCTGTGGCCCTTTGAGCTGATTTGCAGCCGTGAGAAAGGTGCCAATATCTTTGTATTGTTTGGCAGGGAAAAGATTACCTTGTAACTCATCTTGTCTGGCTATGGCCTGGCACTGGATCATGACCAGGTTGATGGCAGCCTGACAGTTTTAAAAGAATATGTTGGCATTTTATGAAAAGGGAAGTTATTACACTTGAAAGGAAGTAAAAACAAAAACAGAAAACCTACGCTTGTCAGTTTTATGGCAGAGGCAGTAAAAATTCTGGCATGTTACTTCAGCCAATCCCTGCAACAAATTAGTGAACTAAATTGATTACAAAATCAAAGATGAATTTACATAAGCATTTGTGTTTTAGTTACCCTGCTCCTACAGTGTGTCAGACACTCAAAAGAGTCAACCCCATGCCCCTTACAGTTAAAATTAGTTTACAGCCTAAATTTAGATGTGTAGCAGCAAGAAGGGAGCATGGAAAGAAAAGAAGAGCATGGGAAGGGATGGGACCTCCTGGGTCACTGGCTCCAGTCTCTCCCAGTCTCAGGAAACCACATTGTCCTATCCTCTTTCAGGCTGTGTTATGGTCTTCTGACATACTGTTAGATGATACAAAAGATGGGGGTTAAATTTACAGATTTGTCCCAGCTCAGTATAGTTTTTCTCTGTCTCCGTTAACTGTGGGATTGGACCCACACTGAGGCTTATCACAAGTTTCTGCTGGTGGCTGTGTTTTACAGCCAGGAGATGTGCCAGGGAGCTGGGGACTGCAGGCAAAGGCAGCAGCCTTAG